CAGACTTCGTACGCCTCCCTGGATCTCAAGACTCAAGACCTCTAAACCTCCATCTTTAGGTCTGTGGGTTTCTAGACCTCTACACCTGCAGATCCGTCTGGATCTCCAGGCCTCTGGATCTTTGTAGATGTAGACCTCTCTGCATCTCAACCGTGATCTCTCTGAATTTCACGATGGCTCACAAAACCACAAGAGCTGTGGATGGCTCACGAAAGGTCTGCTATGTTGGAATAGCACCTTCCTCCTCTAAAGTTTATGCTGACAACAGGTCTGCTCCTGTAAATTTTGCCCTCGCATGGGTCACAAAAGGTCTACTGCTCCTGTAAATTTTGCTCACAAAAGGTCTGCTACCTTGGCGTGGCACCTAAAGTTTACCTCCGGGCTCACAAAAGGTCTGCTACGTTGGAATAGCAAGTTCTACCCTCGCGTTGCTCACAAAACAAAAGCCTGCTACGTTGGAATGGCAACTTCTTCCTCTAAGTTTTAACCTCGCAAGGCTAACAAAAGGTCTGCACCGTTGGAATGGCTCCTTCCTAATCAAAATTTTGCCCTCAGGTGGCTCACAAAAGGTTTGCTATCTTGGAATGGCACTTTCTTCGTCTAAATTTTACCGTCAGGGTGGCTCACAAAAAAAGGTCTGCTATGTCTGGCGATAAAAAGTCTGCTAAGGTGCGTCACAGGATGTATGACCAGATTTCCAAATCACCTTGAACGCGTCTTGCCTCGAAAGTACAGACCCAAGGACCCGAAGACCAGGACGAAGGACCAAAGGACCAGAGGACCAAAGGACCAGAGGACCAAGGGACCAGAAGACCAAGGGACCAGAGGGACCAAGGGACCAGGGGACCAAGGGACCAGGGGACCAAGGGACAAAGGGACAAAGGACCAAGCGACCAGGGAACCAGCAGACCAGGACCAAAGGAGTAGGGGAAATAGGGACCAGGGGACCAAGGGACCAGGGGACCAAGGGACAAAGGGACCAAAGGACCAAGCGACCAGGGAACCAGCAGACCAGGACCAAAGGAGTAGGGGAAATTTTACTTTTGATACGAATCAATTTTTTTGATAAAAAGACTACGGAACCAGGGTAAGTAGATGTAAGGTGCTGTGTCCATGAGAATCTTCTGGAAATTGTAAGAAGCCAAATCAAAGCTCAAGACACAAGTTGCACATCTGCCGATGAAGAACCGCTGCAATGGCTGGAAAAAACCCTCTAGTTAGGAACGGGACCAACTAGGGAATGAAAGTCAGAACTCTGCAGGTACGCAGTTGGACGTCTCCAACTGTATCACAGGTGACTGATGAGCGTCTTTGTTAGCACTGGTCTCATCAGCACCCTCGGTGCCCCCTGCTCAAAACACTTTATCAAATCAACGGATTCCCTGTGACTCCAAGGGTTTCGCACACACAGCATTTGCTGGGCATTCCCCGGCGAAGAGCGCCAGCATCTCGCCAAGGGAAATGACACATTCGCCCTTGAGGACCTCGGTGGAGAATTCATAGAAAAGGCCACCTTTGTGCGGTTGAAGCTGAGAGCAGGAAAAGACATGAATGACTTGACATCTTCCAATGGTGTGGTATCTCATGGTGAAACAAACTGGTGTGAAACGGCGTGGATCTTCGCGGTATATCCATTGTTCGCCAGCTGAAGAAGGGAGGGGAAAACATCAGAAAAACAAACGCGTCTCCAAAGGTTTAAAGGGGGGCTCATTCCGGGAGAGGAGCCACATCCTCCAAGGAAAGCCACCTATACAAGTGCAATATTATATGAAGCAAGCCCATTTCAAGGTGATCGGATTTAGGACCCCGAACCTGGCGTGACAAATGCATGAGCCGATCAGTCATGATGTTAAAGTCGCAAAGGACAAGATCAAACAAAAAGTACAAAACATAGTTGGTGGCGCACACAGCCTCCAACGGTTTTGGTTGGCCAGGGGTCTCATGCAAAAAGAACAGGACAATGGCCAACTCCAGCGATTTGAACTGAACATCCACGAACCCCTACCATAATGTTCAGATCTTGACTCTCTGTCTTTGGGGGTCGCGGGGGGCTTGGGGACACGATGGGACACCCCTAAACGCCCCTGGGCTTCCCCACTGGGATCTCGTGCCCCACGAATTGGGAGACTGGCGCCGGCGGCCACGGAAGCGACTTCGGCGACCGAGCGACGGAAGTGTCGTTGATCTCACAAAAGCAAAAACCGCAAACACAAAACATCCCACAGAATCACTTCTAAGCAAAAACATTGGATATGTTTTGCAGGGGATCCAGTTACCACGATGTCGCTCGTAACCAGTTCCAATGACTAAAAGCATAGACTTAGAATCCCTGGTTCCTTATAAAGTACCACTGGGTTTGGCTTCTTTTTTTCAATATTGATGAATGCTCAATCTAAGGAGCATCCCATGCACCAAGAACTGTGGAAATGGTTGACGCTGCCCGCAGAGTCCCGGAAAACCTGCCTACACGGGCTATATGCTGCACTGCCACCTGGGTAATGAGGAAGTGGTGTTCACCTTGGAACGATCGAGTCGAAGCGCGTGCCGCGTTCCCTCAGTCGTGTGATGTGTGCGGATAGGTGCAGAAGTGGAGTCTCAGGGAGTCGCAACAGGCCCAATGCACAAGGCCTCCAGCAAAAAGAACCGATCTCAATGGAACTGATTTCTTGATCTGTGTGAACATGTCTCTTCTGCGGTTTTCCTCTACTTCACGTGCTCACCTTGCCTGCAACAAAACATTCCCATCCTCTCATGCCATGTTGTTCCTCCTCTCACCGCCCTAAAACCGCTCCCGCCCCCAAACCCTCTCGCGCGTGTTGGATCGCCCAGCTGCCCCCCACCCCGCCTTCCTCCTCGGAGATGAACATGTTGCCCCTGGCACTTTCTTGGGCCGCTGTCGGTGGTGAACAGGGTCACCGCTGTCGGTGGGCTCGGCCGATGGTTGGAGTCATCCCATTCGCATGACGGTCTGACCGTCCTTCCAGTTTCGGAAGCGATATAATTGTAAGCCGGGAAATCGAATCATCGAACCTCTTTTTGGAACCATCTACTTTCCACTCCCCGGGAAGCTGCCAACGTGCGAGCTCTCAATCTCCGGCGTCTTTCAATTCCTTCACCAGCCAGCAGCACGAGAGCAATTCCCCCATGTCGTTGGTGATGATGACGTAGGTGTTGGAGAGCTCAGTTCAGTATGAACCAGGCGGATCATGGTGGGATGCTCAAGGGAGCTAGCAGCAGAGAGGGCTATAGCGCTCCAGTCGCTGCAAAAACTTAGACTTATTCACTTGAATATGCAAAAGGGGCGTGAGTACATTGCTCAACTGTAGCTTCCACTCTTTGCTTGATTGCAGCAATGGAGCGTTCTTCTCCCGGAAAGAAGAGCCACAACACCTGAGGTCCTTGCTCCTCGCGACTCCTCACTAAAAACACAGAGTACATCTTGAGAACATCTGTACGGTCTTATGGACCACTCCACAGTCCTGGTACCTTCATCTTCACACCAGAAAATATCTTTAAAAAACAAACATGATCATTGCTGTTTCTCTGCTTTGCTCGTTTGGCACGACGTGTGATCTTTTGGCACACAAGTTGTTTTTGCAACCTCCAGCCTCTTCAAGACCGAGTTGGCTGAAGACTATGCTGCTTGGTTTGCAGTCGTTGTCTGCTATTGTCTGCTTCTTCTGAAAGCCTAAGTTGGTAGATGCTCGCTAGGTACCCCTTGAAAGTCAGGCAGTTTCACCCAATGCCAGCTTAAGGATAACTGGTTCACTTGCAATCGCTCTTTCAAAGGTCCAACAAACACCTCCACGTCGCAAGCAGATTGGTGCTCTCAGTGTCTCAAAGCTGACTTCGGACCACACCAATGGTCGGACCGGACGTGGACCGACGCACCGCGACCTGTTCCCCTTTCCCATCATTCCAAGCCCAGCGCCAAGGTCCCAATCACCACCAGGGCCGATACCTAGAAGCAGCGTTCAAAGGTGGTGTTGGTGACCTGTCGGTGTGAAGTCCTGCTACAAACATGTGGCGCAACAAGTTCGTGCCACGGACTGTGTCCGTTGGTCCGTTGCGTGGTCACGAAGGAATGTAGACATGACCTGGCAAAAGCAGGTGGGCAAAACAAAAAAATTGCTGGAGAGAGGCAGGACCAAACAATCCCCGCCCCCAATTGATGCGCGAAACATATCCTCAAAACATCACCGCCACCGTCAAAATTTCTTGTGTGGGCATTCTTCGGCCAAGCATTATATGATGAAAACTCGCCGCGCGGCCTTTGATAGAAACTCTCAAGTACAGTAAACGTCTCCATTGTACATATATTTGTATATACACCCTCATCTTGAACTACTAAAGTACTTACTAAAGTAAACTCCGGTGCGAATGCGTACTAAGTTTAACCAGGGTAAGTAGCGTACCTATTTCGCAACTAAGTTTACTCGAGGTGATTGAGATGATTGCATTACGTAGTTGTTGGTTTTAGAACGTAGTTGTGAACTCCTAGAGTAAACTCCGTATCTTCTCAGATCCTAGGGTTACCAACGTAGTTGGAAGCTCTGGGTATTATATATACATACATATCACAGTATATCCACTATACACTGTATATTTGTAGAGTGTTCCCATTCATGGAGCCACCCTGACCTGCCCTTGAACACTTCTGGAGAGCTGTTTGGCCCTGGGTCCCGGTACCAGCCGGGTCCAAGACCTGGCTTTTTCAAAGCGCTTCTCACGGTGAACAAATCAGGTTCAAATCCAAGAAAAGCAGGACGTGGAACAACAAGAAGCCACCAAGAGTGTGTGTGTGTGGTCCAACATCAGTGACAGCACGTGTCTTTTGGCCCATAATCCATTGACATGGGCAGCACATCAATAGGTTTCGAGCACCACCCTGCCCACCCCCAAAAATGCCCATGGCCCATCACCCAGGGATGCGAGTGTCATACTTCGCATTGCAAGGGACCACTAGGCTCCCACCAAGGCCAGGTACAAGCCTCTCCCATTCAAAACCACACTTTTCTCCATCGCATCGTCTCACTCGAAGCTGCACAAACGACAGTGGTGCCCCGTTGGACAGTGGTCTTTTGCTGGAGATCCGTTGCACTGGGCAATCCCCTCCATCATGAACACATTACACAAGTACATCGGAATCTCTGACCATGCAAAAAGGAACGAACAACAATAAGTGGTTGGGGGCTAGCAGCAACTATGAGCCTGAGCGTGGTTGACCCGCAATTGGGGTGCCTATCAATTTCATGTCACCACATGCAAAACTCGAACATCTGTCAACGTTAGCATTCTTTTAGTTTTGATGATAGAGCACCAAGCGCACGCCATCTTGATGTGGATAATTGAAACGGCATCCTGCTGAGAAAAAAAAGACACACACACACACAACAGCAAAATGTGTGCACATATTGTGTGGGCATACCAGGACAAACACGCATATGCATAATATGTGTAGACAAGCACACATATTTACATACCACGCGCACAATACTAACAGAACTCGCAGGGAGAATTCAAGGCACCCGTGGCCACCAAATCCACCGAAAACAAGGATGATATGGTTTTTAGGTAGAACGGTAGAATAAGTTGTTGTTGTGGGGTAAGGAAGTCTCAGTCTCATGAACACCCCCACGGTATAGAAATCTTTGACGAGGAAAGGCGCCGCTGTGGGACCAGCGACCTGACCAGCCTGACTTGAGGCACTGCGGGACGCAGGGCATTTATTGGACGCTGGACGCGCCCAGACACCGACGGCTACCGCAGCTTCACATGACCGACCGGTCAGGTGCATCACCAATCATTGAATGAAACCGGGTGTTTGCTGCTTGGAAACACCATCATGCGAAGCAGGGCATGATAGCCCTAGCTGTTCAAAACTCTTCAGCTGTTCAGCCAGATCTCAAACGCTTTGCGCCACCGGCACGCCGTGCTTCGAAGGCCTTGCAGCGGCACAGCGACTCGACGTGTGACACGACGTGCCTTGGATCACCACACCAACGCAGTGAGCCTCACGTCGTGCAAATACCTGGATGTTCCTCAGGCAGTTATTTCTGCCTGAATGGTTTCAGGCTGTTTTTTCTGCCCGAACCTCAGATTTCCGCCTGAGGCAGAAATTTCTGCCCGAAGGCAGTTGCAGAAATTCAAAATTTGTAAAACACATCAGTGCCAAACAAAGTCATGAATCATGGTTACAACATATTACAAAACAGGGTGTTCGGGTAAATCCGCCCGAATGCCGGGAAGTTCCGCCTTTTTGAAACCCCAGAAATTCTCTATTGTTTTACATGTAGACCTGTTTGAGCTTTGCAGTTTGCAAATTACGGCTCCTCGTTGAAACCACCTGATTTGGAAGATCCGCCCGAGCGCGTTTTTTCTGCCTTTTTCGTAGAAAGGCAGATTTTAAGCAAAAGGCAGATAATAAAGGCCGTTAGAGGATCTAGGTATGAACGTCCCAAAACAGCCCTGTGCAACATCAACCACCCAAACATACCAAGACTGCTGTTTCCGGGGTCTCAGTTGTCTGGGTTTTGACCCCAGCGACATCACGCAACTCAAGTTGGCCCAGCATTGGTTTCAAGGGTTCGGACATGTTTTAGAAACAAGAAGCTACTAGTATATAGCTCCTGGCATTACCACTAAGAACTAAGAAGCTACGAACGTAACAAAGGAAATCGCTACGAGTAACAAGGGCATTACTACTAGTAGCAAGAAGCTATTAGTAACAAGGGCATCGCTACTAGGAGCAAGGACGCGACTAGGGGCTCCTGGCCTTACTACTAGGAGCAAGAAGCTACTAGTAACAAGGGCATTACTACTAGTAGCAAGAAGCTTAGGGGCCCATCGATCCATCGATCCATCATAACCCTCCGCAAGATTATCTCTCGGGCCTGGCCCTCTGAAATCTGGGTTTCATGGCGACCTGCGAGGAAATGTTGCTTGGGTTCGTTCTTCAAGGGGATGGGTGAGAAACCCTAAGAAGCAGGGCATGATGACGAGGTCGACCAAAGAATGTTGGATCCTATTCTGTGTTGAGATTGGGATTATCGTCTTCACCTTTGAGAACCAGGTAGCCATTCCTTTTGATCCCCGCCCTTTTTGCACAATCCGCGGGTCAACGCGCACAATTCAAAAGAAACTGGTCTTGGAATGAAACCCACCTGGCAATCCTACTCCCAAGTCTCCCAAACAATGTCAACAGCCACCCGATTCCAAAGCTTCCATTGCCTGATCAAAAGCAGAAACAACCCTATGATACCCTACTATGTATATTAGTTCGATCTGACAAACAAAACGGTTCCCCCAAAACAAAACAATTGCATAGAATTGGACTACGATTAATTGCAATTTCAGCAATCAAACAGCTTGAATCAAACATGTGCTTTCGTGCGGCTTGATTTGCTGGAGAAAGCTCTGTTTGATAAACCAGCAGCGTCTGGCAGAATGGATCTCAGCTTGCCCAAATGGTCCATATAGAATGAAGTCACCGACTCACCAAACGGACAAAAACCAAAAAGCACTTTGGAGTCCAAGAAGGTCTCGTCTCAATCCAAGGAAAGCAACCACTCGGCGAACACTAATCGATCCCACCAGTAGGATCGCTGCAAGCAACAAGTGGAAGAACAGCAGCGCCAACAAGCATGTGATGGCCTGCAGTGCCGGTTGCAAAAACGGACTCCGTTCACTGTTGGACTGGGCATCGACAAAACCATACAGTGATTGCTTTGAGGCCATGCGTATCCATGCGTTTTCCCTATGGTCTTGTTTTCGTGACATGGTTGGTCTCCACTCTAGGCCCAAATTTACGCAGTTCGGGTAGGCAAATGCCGAACTCATGGCATTTTGCTAATGCAAGAGTCTTTTGCAACTCTGAGGTCAGTAATCAGTGGCCTGTGACTTCGAGGGGCTTCCTCCCGCTGCTGCTACAGTACCACCGAAGGCTATTCCCCGCCAGCCCATCTCCCCCCAAACCATGGCATGCGTGGAGGAAAAATGTACAGTACAAGACTTTGGAGGGCCACTGGGGGCACTGGACACGTGGATTGGCGTTTCCTAATCTTGAATGCAAAGATAGATCGGAACATTATCTTAGTTCTCGTCTGAGTCTGAGGAGCCTCTTGGTAGGCGTGCGAAACGCCCAACCGCTCCAGGAAGACCTCAGCGAGGACTTCTTATGATTTCCCTGCAACATCTGCAAGTCTAAGGGGTTGTTTGCACTTTGAATCTGCTTTCTTTCAGGGCATGTGCAGCACACCTACATCTTCCAGAACGAGCCATCGCCAAGGAGCCATCGCCAAGGGACTAAACATGGACCCAGGGATCTTCCATTCCAAACGTCTAACAAAACACCGAGTTCCAATCACTTTCCGCTGGTCTCAGCCTCCGGCGTCGCCGGAGCGCAACAAGGCCACCCCTCCCAGCTTGCCCGCCTGGAGTCCGCGAGTCCGCTGATGCCGGTTGGGTGGTTGAGAAGGAACGCGCACCACCCAGCAACGGCCAAATCCAAGCCGCACGGCAAGGCCCTCTTTTGGTCGACTGAGCCTCATTCACGCCTTCTTGGCATGAATACCCCTCCCCGAGGCATTTCGCGATCGGGACGGCCATTTTCTGTGGAGCGTCAGCGAACTACAACAAAGGCCTGATGAATTGAAGGGAATGAACATGAATGTGGGATCCACTGTTTGCCAATACTAACAACTGTGCATAATCATCTTTGGCGATCAAATGCGCACACTTCCAATCTCCCCCCTCTTGTTTTGACATGTTTGACCATCTGCCACATCAACTCTTGGGAATCTCTTGGACCATCTGACGCTCCAGCAGTGCCCAAAATCCAAGTGTCCGGTGCCCACAGGTGGGGACGACCAGCGGCCCTCGGGCTTTCAACGCACCCGGCGCGTTCTTCGCGGCGCGGTGCCGTGGTGCCGTGGTAGGCGGCGGTCTTCGGGCGCCGTCGTTCGACGGGGACCCGGGGCGGTCGGACGGACCGAGACTACGAAGGTGCTGCAGTCTGCTCCTGACGCCATAGGGGGAGAAGCACTAGGCCACAGCGAAGTAGACTCCAAGCTCTGACAATAGCAACTCCCCTGCAGATGAACATGGACCCCCAAACCCTGTTGGTTGTAGAGGATATTGATATAATGGTCTTCCATGGCTCAATTCTCAGGTTCCTGTTAGCTTGCGGCTGGGCCAAGCCATGAACACCTGGACCATTATGGCATTGCTTGGTCATCTGTTGCCACATCTTGGGCCTTGGGTCCAACCATCTTGAACTCAAAGGCGGTGGGCAATGAGGGATGACATGGGATGAATCTCGGCCTCCTTGAAACCATCGGAACTTCTTCGGCTCCTGGAAGACCCTTTTCTTCTACAAGGCGGTCGTGATCTCAGCTTCCTTTCGTTTTGAGGGTGGAGGATCCGCGGTCCGCGAGGGTCATCCATGGGCCACCGGAAACCGAACGGACCAAACAAACCCCACCGTCGAAAAAATGAACTTGATGAAGCCATGAAAAGAAGAAGATGAACACCTCTAATACCCTCTAATAAACACCAAGCTGAACATAAAGATTTGGGGACCATAGAGTGACATATACAGTATGTAGACATATTCCGGATGCTACCTGCTCCCTCTAGCCGCCTGTACGCCCATCTCTACCCCCAAAGGCATGTCCTTCATGGATAGCGCCAGCTGCAAGGGTTGCTGCTGTCGGCGCTCCACCACCTCCTTCCAAAGCCTCGAGTTAATTGGAAGAAAAAAATAACAACAAACACATCTTAGGTAGGCTTCCCCAGCTCCTAACATGGCAACCCACAAAAATCACCAACACGTGGAGTTGGAAAATGAACTTCCAAAAGGAGGAGCATTCCAGGTATAGTTGCATTCCTTTCAGGGCCTGGGCTGAGTATAATAGAAAAGCGCATTTATTAAAAAACAATCACGACATGGTTGGTTGAGGAACGATTGAACGTGTATATGTGGCATCCAGCATCCAAGACATGGCTTGGCTTACACCGTATGGAATCTAAACATGGTTGAAGGAGTCCACTGTAGGAATCTCTGGTTTTAACATCTGGATGCATGGGGGCCCCATGGGGGGTCAAGCCATTCCAACACCTCGAGCATGTCGGACAAAGCACACACTTCGAACTTGAGTTTTCAGTTAACGCAATTGTCTCGGTGAGAAGGAAGGTGATGGAACAGCAAGGCGAAAAGGTCCAAAGACTTGAATTGTTGAAAAAATGTTTCACTCGCGCGGCTGGCTGCAATGCACAGGCGGCTGAAAGCTGTTTTGGGGAAGTAGCACATGAAAAACCATGAATCAAACCAAAAGGAGTGGACAGCGTGGGCAACAGTTGATTGCAGGTACGTCATCAGGCGTCCCTGATGATGTCCTAGGAGCACGTGAGGAGCTTCGTTGGATGGAGCCTCACGTGTCCTCTCCATCCCCCTGCTCATGTAAGATAGAAAGAGTGGTGGTGGAAAACCCTTTGTCCAGGGTTGGACACACACAGATCGCCGCATTCGGCGCATTTTTCAAAAACCGGTGGCAGGCGTGATAGTTATGCCCCTTTTGGACATATAGATTCACAAGTTCAGCCGCGGCAGCATCAGCGCTGGAGGGTGGAAATGTGTATTTTCGAATGGTGTGAAGTCGTGATTGGAGGCCTGATAGAGCCAAGCGCTGGCTCCCGGCAGTGGTGGAATCCCGGATTTTCCAGGGTTGAGAAGGTTGCATGTAGTTGATGGTGCGTTGTGGGAGGTCGATGTTGAAACCGAGGAGATGGAAATCCTCCACCGGTTCGAGTTCCACAGGGTCGCCAAAGAAATTGTGGTGGATAAGGGTTTGGATAGCCGGGTGTTGAAGGAAATGTTCGTTGTGGACAATGAAGCGGTTGTCGACATAGCGATAGTAAGTAAAGTGGAGGTCTGTGTGTTGAAGGAGGTTGTTGTGGATCTGGTGCCAGGAGTGCTCAATGAGAGTGATGGCAACGTTGCATAGGGCTGGAGAGAGCTGGGATCCAATCCCGGCTCCTCGGATTTGTTTGTAAGTGTTGTTGCAAGCCCGGAAAATGCATGTGTTGAGGGCGAAAGCCACGATGGTGGTGATGTCGGAAGTCTGGATGGTGCGTTGAGTAGGGTGTTTTCGATGGTGTCTGCCAATGTGTGAGTGGTGGAAAGGATTGCCGGTGGCCTGGACATCCACCGTTAGGGTGTGTGTGGATTGCTGTTGTTGCCAGTGGTGGACGAGGGAGTGGACTGCATCGATGAGTCGGTGCTGGGGGACGGAGTTGAAAAAGCCGACCAGGTCATCGTTGGTGGCGTGTAGTGAGATGTCTGGTGGGGTTTGGGTGAGGTAACTGTGAAAGTGGTGCCAAAGCTGGGGAATGGACATTTGGCCTGGATGTTGAGGGTAGAGGTGTTGGAGGATAATGTCAAGGGCTCGGCTGGTGATGCGTAGCAGGTTGCCACTTAGTGATTGGAAGTAGGATATGATTGTACGGCCTTTTTGCCAGTGCTTCTTTTCTTTGAGGTGGACAACTCCGTAGGGGATGTTGAAGTCTTTTCGGAAGCCCCACTTGTAGCGGGTGCGCAGGATGGAGGGGACTGTGGCGGCCAGGTGGTCGTGGATGTTGGCGGCAGTGATGTAGGGAAGTGGTTCGAAAAGTTCGGGGGATTGCCAGGTGTTCAAGGCTCCAGTGAAGTATTGTCGAGGGCAAAACAGCCGAAGTTGTTGGAGCTCATGATCGGCATGGTGGAGCAATGTGTGTTTGCCCAAATGTTCTTGCAGTTGACGAAGCAGGCGGGCCGTAAAACGGGGTTGCTGCTTGAGGTGTGTGTTATGAAGGCGCCATTGGTGCTCAAGGAAGGGTTGTAGATGCTGAACGAGGGATGGTGGAAGCCCTTGTAGTTTGAGCCATTTGGTGTAGGCCGTCTTGAAAATGAGGAAATAGCGAGCTTTGCTTGGGTAATAGGTGCTGTTCATATTGGCGTTGAGAAAAATGCCGAGGTGTGTAGAGAGTTGGAGTTGGTCAAGTGTAAGGATGTAGTGGCCGTTGATGGTAGGGGTATCGGGATCCTGCAAGAGGGTGCGCAGGTGATCGCATGCACAGGGAAGGTCTGCTGGATCTGGTGGGGAGTGGAGGGTGTCTTCCCATGTGCGGTGGTTGTGCAGGTGAGAGCGGAGGGTTTTGTGGGCGGCTTCTCGCAGTCTGTGGGAGGGGAGGTGGAGGGGAATGGTGAAATGCTTGTGCTGCTGGATGGTAGTACGAAGCCACTGTTGGCAGTGCTTGGTGAAGTCGTCATGGGCCAAGAAGGGCACTGTCAGTGGGATGTTTGGTTTTGGTGGCGTGAGATTGCGGTAGATCAAGGCTTTGTTGAGGATGTGGAGGGCTCGGCTGCGGCCGGGTTCTTCCAGGTTTGCGGCCATGCGCCGGATGGCATAGACTTCGAGGTCTGTGTGGCGTCCGCTTCGTAGCTCTTTAGCTGCTTCAAAGGAGGCTGCAGTGTGTTTGGTAAGGTTGCGAAGAAGGTGGAGGGCGTGATGCTTAGTGGAGGTGTAGAGGTGTGGTTCTCTGAGGGTGTACTGGCGTTGTCGAAGGCGTCGGAAAAGTCGTTTGTGGGTGGCTAATCTGGAGTAGAAGTGGGCTCTGTGTTTTGCGAACTGCCATCCCTGAGCTTTGAGTTTGAGGTGGTGGGAAATGAAAGGCCAGTTGAGCGGAGGCATCCAGTTTGCGATGTAATGGTGCTCTTGGATCCAGGCTTGGTCGTATGTGTCATGGGAGGTAAGTTGAATAGTGGTGTAGTGGTGGATGTTGTTATGTGAATGCCAATAACGTAGGGAGAGTTCTGCAGAAATGGGAATGTTATTTTGGAGTTGTTTGAGTTTGGCGCGGCGATTATGCTCGCGGTGGGGGATGCCGATAGCTGTGGAGCCAACATAGAAGTGGCCATGCTGATGGTAGCAGCGTTGGGGTTGGTCTGGATTGAAGTGGAGCTTGATGTAGACTGAATTGGAGGAAAGGAAGTTGTGGTAGTGGTAGGTGTGGGGCAAAATGTGGAGCTGGCGGAGGCGGTTGCGCCATTGTTGTGAGCGATGGGTGTTAGAAGGGTATGCGAAGAGGAGGGTGATATGGAGAAGGCCGGTTGCGAAGATGGCCTCGGCACGGTCGATGTATTGGGTGCGGTGGATGAGGGTAGAAAGTGCTCTGTGCAGGTGGAAGAGTTGGGTGAGGTTGGTGTGGCTGGGTTGCTGCTGGGCCAGAATGGCGAGTCAGCAACCGATGGCTGCTCCAACTCCCACCAGCTGTTGTAGGCTGCGAATGGGGAGTCGGTTGACCCGGTTGAGGGGTAGGCCATACTTGGTGGCTGCTTCTTTTAGCTGCTGCGTGGTGACTTTGCTTGTTTGCAGCAGTCGGATGACTTCCGTCG